AGGAATTCTCTTACACCTACATCATATAATACCTGGATTTGGTACTTGTTTAGATTGTCATATTTGAGCCTTTAGTTGTACTTTAAAAACAAAGCTACTCACCTTATAACTCAAGTTTTATGTTACATGTGTTTGTGTAATGCCTTTGAGATTAATAGCATTCAGCTGTACAATATTCACAGATATAAAAAGGGAAAAGCCTTATATCCTCTTAGTCTCTTAGTTAATGTTTAGGATTTCCATAAAGTTGAACCAAGCAATGCTGTAGAAGAAATCATAAAAGTTAGATTTAGTAAAAATGGCGTGTTGGATTAGGGACAGCTGCAAATTTTGGTCTCAGTTGAATGGTCGTCCTAACCTGGCCGTGAAAAGGAATGAGAATATGTAGTACATAATATTTTTTTTGTATCTCCAGGCAGAAATACAAATTGCCAATGAATGAAGTTATGTATTCACTGAAAGAAAAAATCTAATGTATTTTAAATGCACTAATGCAACTACCTAAATTAAACTTGGACAGAGGATTGCAGAAATGAGGCTTCTGCAATCCTCTGCACAGTAGACAGGGAACTGGAGGAAAGCAGCCCTAGGACCCAATTAGATGTGCTGTACTGCTGAAAGGGACCTTTTGATAGGATGAGACAACAAAAGGATGAACTCATCAGCTTATTGCTGCTACTTCATTGTCAAGACACAGGCTGAGAATGGGGGATGAACTCTGTTGCATAAAGCAGGTGACTGACTATGAGCCGTGAACTACCTCAGCAGCATAAGTTGCATGCCCAGCTCTTTTTACCCCTTTCCTTCTGTTTTTTTTTTTTCAGTCTGGTTTTATTAAATTTTGAATCATATAAACATACAGGTAGCAAAGATGGGATTTGACAAGTAACAAAACATTCCAATGTGATGTACATTCATGACTGTATTATGGTAAATATCCAGAAACATGAAAAAGGTGGACTGCACCAGTTGTGGTAATGAACTTGGTTATAATTAAGATGTGAAGCGACCTAAAGTAGATTTTTAGTCGCAAACTGGTGGGTTTGGTATGTGCTGGAGGGATGCATTTACATATTAAATATCAACAATGCATTTAGTGGAAGGAATACATTTGTAGAGAAGAATGACATGAAATAAAACAGAGGTGAGAAAGTAGGATGGGGGTACATGACAGACAGGGCAAGGTAAGGGGAAGAAGACACTCCATCATGTCTATGTAAGGGAAGAAACGGTGTCTCCCTTAGCCCACACTAGAAACTGGTGTGAGAAAACTGTTCTTCCTTTCCTGTTTCCTGCGACAACAGTTGTTCCCTAGGTCCCTAATAGAGTCCACTTCAGTGGCCCATTCCCAAAGGGAGGGTGTAGTGTAGTCGATTTCCAGTGGAGGGGAATCAACACTCTGGCAGCAGCCAAAAATGCCTAAATCTCTTTTGGCAGCTATAAAGGCTCCAGGCATCATGGAAAGGAGGGCTACCTTGAGGGAGGCTGGAGTGGAGGTTTCCATAAGTGTACAGTACAGATCAAAGATTTGTTTCCAGAATCTCCGTATAGGGGGCAGTCCCACCAGATGTGGAGCATGGTGCCTTTTGAGTCATTGCCACCTTGTGTCTTTTAAATAGTCCAAACCAGTTGCCTCTTCTGCCAGTCCATTAACATAGACTGAAATTATTCCAAACGTTTGTTCTGCTAAATTTAAACAAAAATTTTTTTCAACAATGTAACTACTACTTTACCAGTAGAACAACTTTAAACTATAAATAATAATAAACATAAACTTTCACATGTTCCCTACATGAAATCAGGTAAACGGAATTATTTCAATAAAAGAAGAGAAGAGGGGTTTATAATAAAATGCCAGACAGCTAGAGAGCGACTTAACCCCTCCGCAAACACACATGCCATGTCTTGCATGGATTGTGGTATCTAAGCATGTCTCTCACAACACAGAGAGGCATAACACTAAGTCCCCAGGGGGCTTGCTGCTTGCTTCTCTGCACAGCACAGTCTGCTCTGCAACCTGGCACCCTCCTGGTGACTCTCCTGCACAGTACACCTTGTGGCTCCCTTCCAGGCAGGTTGAAGAGCAGGGGCATAGATAAAGGGGTGGTAAGGGGAGTCTGAACCCCCTCCAGAGGAGAGTTGCCAACCATCCCTGCAGGCTGCAGCCCTCGAAATTTCCACTCGCCTGCTTCTGAAGGAGTCATGGTGAGTTTGACCCAACCTTCCTTCCACCCCCCCTCCCTTCCATCCTTCCACCTCCCTCCCTTCCTTCCATCCTTCCACCCCCCTCCCTTCCTTCCTTCCTTCCTTCCTCCCCTTCCCTTCCTTCCACTACCCCATATCCTTCCACCCCCCCCTCCTTCCTTCCACCCTTTCCTTCCTTACTTCCACCCCCCCCTCCCTTCCATCCTTCCACCCACCCCTCCCTTCCTTCCACCTCACCTCCCTTCCTTCCACCTCACCTCCCTTCCTTCCATCCTTCCACCCCCCCTCCTTCTATCCTTCCACCCACCCCTCCCTTCCTTCCACCTCACCTCCCTTCCTTCCATCCTTCCACCACCCCTCCCTTCCATCCTTCCACCCCCCTTTCTTTCCATCCTTCCACCCCCCCACTCCCTTCCTTCCACCCTCCCTTCCTTCCTTCAACCCCCCCTCCCTTCTTTCCAACACCCCCTCTCCTTCCTTCCATTCTTCCACCCCCCCTTCCTCCCACCCACTGTTCCTTCTTCCACCCACCCTTTCTTCCTTCCTTTCACCCACCCACCCACCCACCCCTTCCTTCCTCCCTTCCTTCCTCCCTTCCTTCCACGCACCCTTTCCTTCCTTACACCCACCCCTTCTTGTGTTGTGCCTTAAAATGAGCTAAGTTTTAAGACCAAACCTGCCTAGTCTCTCTCTCTTAAACTGTGGCCTAACTAAGCTGCTAACACAATGTCTAAAATGTATTTGTGGCTATTGACAGATAATACAATCTAATTGTAGCACAAGATAAATTCTGCCTGGTCTCTTTTTATTTGCTGCCTATTCAAGTGCTCGCATACTGCTCTGGCCAATTTGAACCAAACACATACATGAAATTTATACTTTAAACATTCTGGTAGTAACTGGGGGATATGGTGATGAAGGGGGAGGGGGAATATGGGGTTGTGAAGTGTATTGTGCACTCTAATTTTACATTTTATTTAACTTTGACACAATACTGTCAAAAAAAGAATATCACAAGTTTATTAAACTCCACTTTTGTATTAGAGGGTGCTTTATTTTTTAAGAGGAAATCTTCTTATGGCTTTAAAATATATTGTGGCTGATGCTTTTAGGTTACATTCCCACTTGTACAACTCCAAAGTTCTGCGACTTTGGAGTGCAACTTTGACACTGACCCAACTTTGGATGGGTGCAGCTTGGATACGACTTTAGCTTTAATTAATGATAATGCACAACTCTTGCACAACTGTTGCATGTGTATCATTCAGGTGCAACTTTCATATGACTTTTGAGGGTTCACATTGCAGTCTATGACTCTCAAGTTGTATGAAAGTTGTACCAAAGTATTGCATGAACTACTGTGAAGTCACTGCAACTTTAAGGCATACATATTTAAATGGTTATCATTGAAAAACATGGAGTACGTCTCCAGGGGTCTAACCTTGCGGTGAGTGCGGTGGAAAAGGGGGAGCACATGTGGATGCATATGCCTTTTTCTCATCACTCACAGCGCACTGATGCACAGGAAATGTGCTTAATGGACATTATTTGCATTTGTTTTTGAATTTGGTTTTTTCACGGACTATTTTGTTGCACATTATTATTGATTAGTCATAAATAGATAGGTGCTGCAATAATCGTGCATCAAAAGATGAAAACAACTAAACAACAAAGTGAACTCCCAATATCTAACAGATGAAATTCCTGATATATGTGGTGAACACAATATATATGGTGATAGTCCCATAAAGACGTAGTCCCGTAGACCAAAAGATATGCTCTTTCACCGCTTGCAGACAATAAGTGAATTTCTCACGCACCAGAAAAAATTGAGCTTGGTTAAGGTGGTCAAGTACCGCTTTGTTATCATGAGTATTGATGACCAGCAACAGGCTCTCCTGGATTAAACCTCCTGGTCTCCTCATAAGAGATATGGATTTAGGGAATCAAAGATAACTGCCCCAGCTGGGTGATCACAAGGCTCTGGGTACACTAATAGTGGATGAATTCACAATCCCAGGCTCTCCTCAAGACAAAGGTGATGCTCCAAGCAGCTCAAATAAACCACTTGTATATTTAATGTATAGATGTGAATCTGGTAGCACAGAATGTCAGTCTATAGTCCATTCCCATTTTTGCTTCACTTAGGACAGTCTCACTTTATGGCTGTGGAGCTGGTCTGTTGTTTGTGGCTTCCACATCCAGTACAGGTGAGCTCATTACCTGGTAATGATAAATAAACATGAGAATGCCGATACATTTTTAATTGCAACAATTTTCTGGGTGAAGTGGTGCATTATCTGACAGAAATGCAGGGGTGCCAATAGTTTTGGCCATGACTGTATATACCATTGTTTGTAGACTCTATAACTTTACTACAGACTAAATATTATATACTGATTTGGGTTATTTTTACCAAAGAAATATAGAAGAATACATTTTAGCCTAAATTTATGAAGAAATAATTTTTTTATTTGTCAAAAATGTTATAAAAGAAACAAAGAAGAAAAATGTGTTTTTTCACCAATTTTTTTTGTATATTTGACATCCAAAGTGTGACAGCGCTGAAAGCTGAAAACTGGCCTGGGCAGGAAGGGGGTGAAAGTGTCTGGTATTAAAGTAGTTAACCACTTTCCAACCACATAACCTAGTTATATGGTGCAGAGTGGCTCACCTGCTCCAGATCATGAACCTATTAGGTGATCCGGCACTTTCGGGTAGGGGGCGCACACGTGCTTCACAGGCAACTCGGCTGTGTTGTGATTAAGCACAAATCGATCAGAGGGTGCCGGTCAATGGATTACCGCCGGCACCCGCTGATCGGCGAGGAGAAAGACAAGACAGAGCTTTGCCTATATAAACAAGGCAAACCTCTGTCTTGTCGGCAAGGATGTGCTGAATTTTGTTTCCTTGCGAAACAGGGAATAAATTCCAGCACATCCCTCAGTGAAAGCTCCATATAGTACACATAAAAACACTGGTTAGGCACACATTTAACCCTTTGATCACCTTAGATGTTTAGCCCCTTCCCAGCCAGTGTTAGACAGTTTTTGCAGTGATCACTGCATTAGTGTCACTGGTTCTCACAAAGTGTCAGTTAGTGTCAGATTGTCCACTGCAATATCACAGTCCCGCTATAACTCACTGATTGCTGCCATTACTAGTATAAAAAAAAATAAACAAAAAATCCAGCATATATACCATAGTTTGTACCCACTATAATGTTTCCGTAAACCAATCAATATATGCTTACTGAGATTTTTTTAAACCAAAAATATGTAAAAATTGGCCTAAATTTATGAAAAAATGTAGATTTTTGTAATTTTATTATTAGATATGTTTTATAGCCGAAAGAAAATTAACTGTTTGCTTTTCAAATACCACCAAAAGAAAGCTCTATTTGTGGGAAACAAAAATGATATAAATTCAGTTTGTGCACAGTGTTGCACAATTGTTAGTTAAAGTAATGCACTGCCAAAAAGCAAAAAATGGCCTGGTCACAAAGGATGGTAAATCTTCCGGAGGTCAAATGGTTAAAGTACAGTATGTAACCCTTCAAAAAGGCATGGTATACATATTCAGGGTTTATGATGGTGATGTGTAATGATATACATTGTACTAAGGATTTCGTGAAGCAAAAATGTAATTGAATGTGGTCATTGGTTTAGATGCATTTCTGAAGCAGAATTTGTTTTAAAAAAACATTAAAATAATGAATTTAAATTACATTTTATATTTTTTTTATTAATAACAATCAAGTGCATCATGAATCAGCATAAATACATTTGATATAGAACACTGCATTTTTTGCAGATATAATTCACATAAAAAGAATGAAGCAGGTAACATTTATGTTTCCCCTTGTATGTCATTTTGTGTAGCAAATATTTGATTTGATTTCTGATTAGGCTCCATGACTTCTATTTAAGGGATGCTTTTCTTAAAACAAAAATCCTGTTCATGCACTATTTGGTCACAGCAGGTGGCACTGGTAGGTCAGTCCTGCATTGTCCTGTATACTTGAATTAATCCACACTGCTGGATAAATTCCCAGATTGTAAGCATTTACCGTATATACTTTTACAAATAGGCTTGAAGCACGTAGCATAATGCATGCATTGGGGCTGATTTACTAAATTTGGAGAGTGCAAAACCTGGGGCAGCTCTGCACAGAAACCAATCAGCTTCCAGCTTTTTTTGTCAAAGCTTAATGGAAAAAGCAGAAGTTAGATGCTGATTGGTTACCATAAACAGCTACACCAGATTTCGCACTGTCCAGTTTTAGTAAATAAACCCCAATATTTTCTTGTGATGGAAACCAATCCAAGTAGTCACCGTTTTTTTCATGACATGTTTCCCTTCTCTGCTCTCAACTCAGGTTGTGCAAAAATAACTGGAGATGAGATTGAATCTAAATGAACAGCCCAGAGTCAAAACTGTCGGCCAATTGGAGGCAAGTATGAAAATGCTGCAACTATATTTCTGCTAACCAGTCACAATCGTAACGCAGCATCGGGCATAATCTATAACAATTAGAGGGATGCCCTTGACCTATCCTGTGCCTTTAGGCTAGGTTAGCAGCTTTGCGATTCTGCATGCCACCTTTGCGTGGGCACAAGAGCCTATCCATTTGCTTTGACGCCATGCGTTTCTGCATGTGGGAAACTGCACCACATTTTTCAGTGCATGGGGGTACCATTAAGAGTTAATGGCATCCCCATGTGTTTTCATAAAAGCAGCACATTTTTTGTGCTGCTGCATGTTGGTGTGGTAATGTGTGTAATTTACATGCACTCCAGCATTCCCACCGATGTGAGCCTAGGGTTTTTTGCATGGACAGCCTTTTGAAGTATCAATTTTACCTAATAGAACATGTTCTCATTTGATAGAATGTTTATTTATTTATTTTGATGAGAGGAGTATAGTCTATGAATGAGTTTAATACTGAAGGTCATTTTTTACTTCCCTCCACCTAAAAGATTTGTTTGTTGTTCAACTGAGTTGGTGGAAAAAGTTCTGAAATGATTTATCTTTGTCTCATTTTTTTACATCACAAAAACCTGACATTTGAACAGGGGTGTGTAGACTTTTTATATCCACTGTATGAAGGATGACTAATGAATTTGCTACAAGGATCTGAAATAAAAAATATCTACTGTAATTGTGATTTGGACAACAGCAACAGCTGCTCATACATTGTTCTGCTGTCGGTTACACATTTCTGTGGGATAATAAAAGATTCAAGAGTGCCCAGTGCCTGCCAATGCCATCTGGGCAGGTCCTTGTTGATTTTAGTGAAACAGTGTACCATCAGCAGGGCAGGGTGGCAGCTTGTCTAACTTTTCTAGTGGTCAGTGTAAGGTGTAATAATAACTCTTTCAGGATCATATCCTCAAGCCTTGGCACATGCTGTGGATTTTTGCTCAGAAATGGGCCCTAAATCTGTCTCTGACTGTAATACAACTCATATTGGTGGTCCCTGGTACTCTAGAGAGCCAAGGACATAATCATATTTTTAAATCTGTGAGAAAACTTTAAAGTCTTTAATATCCACCATTTACCCGCTGCCATATAGCAGATATACTGCTACACAGTGGAACGGGTGCGCAAAATCACATATATAAATGTAATTTTGCATTTCTGGGCAGGGGGCACTTGTGCCCTACCCGCACTGCCATTTGCGGCTGCGGGTGTCAATCACCGGGTCCCGGCCGGTGATTACCTGCCAGAGCCCGGTGATTACCGGCGATCACTGACAGGAAGGAGGGCTGCTTTGTTTACCAACAGTCCTCCTCACTGTCAGTTTGGACACACTGCTCTGGATGGCTGAGCAGAGCCATCCAGAGCACTGTGCTCCCATCACACAGTTAACCCTTTGATCGCCCCTCATTGTTAACCCCTTCCTGCCCAGTGCCATTGGTACAGTGCCATTCCTTTTTTTTTTTAGCACTGATCACTGTATTGGTGTCACTGGGGATGTCAGTGACACCAAGTCAGTTCCCTCCGATGTCAGAATGCCCGCCACAGTCCCGCTATAAGTTCCGGATCTCCGCCAAAAGTCGCTGATCACCGCCATTATTAGCATAAAAAAAAATATCCAGTATCTATACCCCCATTTGTAAACGTTATAACTTTCATGAAAACCAATTAATTTACACGAATTGGGATTTTTTTTAGCAAAGACATATAGCATAATACATTTTGGCCTAAACTTATGACGAAATTCTGGTCACCACTGTGTCTCTGTCTGCAGAGTATTGCTCCCAGAGCAAAAGCGCAATTGCTGGTTTATAATATAACTAGCAATATGCTCTGGTGAGTTTATTTATTTCTATTGGTGGTAGATTGGCATATTTGTGTTGGTGATGGACGTTTTTCACAGTTGAAAGAAAATTCAGACACACTTTGCTTTTTATATTTATTTTATGTCACAATATAAGTTGTATATTAATTTTAAATAGTGCTACCTTTTTTTGATTTATTACTATAACCTTTATTTAAGGGTAAGGTTTAGCAGCTTTTCATAATTTGGTTTTTTTTTGGCGCTGTTTCCACATATATGTTATTTATTATGAAATTTGATTTTTTAATTTTTTTTACTGGATATGTCCTATAGCAAAAAGTCCAAAATATTGTTTTTTTCTCACAATTGTTGGTCTTTATTTTTTATAGCGCAAAAAATAAAAACCACACAGGTGATCAAATACCATCAAACGAAAGCTCAATTCTTGGGAAAAAAAGGATGTAAATTTCATTTGAGTACAGCGTTGCATGACTGCGCAATTTTTACTTAAAGTAACGCAGCATCGTAGCACAAACCGCTTCTTTAACTGCTTCCTGACCGCACTATTGCAGGAATACTGCTACAGGGCGGCACGGATGTGCAAAATCATGTATATATACGTGATTCACACTCTCATGGTTTTCACGCCCCTCCCAGATAGAGTCATATTGCCCATCAGTACACCAGTAATCACATTTAACCCCTTGATTGCTAGAAACACGCTCATACACAATAAACCTCCATTGCTAGTATAGTGTCTGAACGGATCAATATCTTTGATCAGATCAGCACTATACCAGCGTTCATATTAGTATAGTGTCCTCAAAAACACAGCATTAGCGGGATCAGCCCCGGCACCTGCCAGCATCTGCGTTTAGCCCCTACGCTTACCCACTCACCTTCTCCCCCAGCAAGTGCAGTGTCAGTAGGTCACTGTCCCTTGATACATTGCACACAAAACTGCAATCTTTGCAGAATCAGGCCTGATCTCTGCTAGCACTTGCCAGTGACTCTCATATGCAGCAGAGTGCCACTACTAGTGCTGCTCTACCTTTTGGTGAACTGGGGAGCACCAGTGGCCTAGTACATCCTGGTCTTTCACATATTATCACTGCAATATCACTTGGTGACGTGGCGAGTCCCATAAGTGCAGTACAAGCTGGTGCGGTGGGCGAGCACAAGTATTGTCCTGCAACCATCAAGAATTCGTACACAGGCACGTAGAGACCCTAGTATCCTTCTGGATGTGCTTACAAATCCCAATTGGCAGCCCACAAATTCTGCAGAGACCGTACTTCCCCCATTCACTGCCCAGCCCAGAATTCAGGTGGAAACAGCAAATTTAACTACTCCCCTTAATTTTTTTTTGGAGCTGTTTTTCATGGAATATCTGTATGCATTGATTGTGGATCAAAGCAATTCATATGCATAGCAATTTTTTTTTGCCGCCAACCCACATTCAAACCTTGATAGACCATTCGCATGGAAACCCATTATGGTTTCCGAATTTACATTTTTTTTTTAGGCCTAACCCTCAACATGGGCATTACTAAAAAAAATGAATTGCGGTTGTATTGGTCCACAGACCTGATTCATCATATGCCTGTGTTCTCTGCTGCCATGGCCAGGTATAGATATGAGAGTATAATGTGTTTTATGCATTGAGAGTATAATGTGTTTTTAACACACTCTGTTGTTCTCGGGGTGACCCTGAATTGACTGGCTCCACAAAATTCGGGCCCTCATAAATCACTTTAACCAAAAATTTGCAGATGTCTATACTCCCCAGCAAAAAATCTGTGTTGATGAGTCCCTCGTTCATTTTTTCTGGCCGCCTTGCATTCAAACAATTTCTCCCCAGCAAGCGAGCTGATATGGGGTCAAGATGTATAAGACCTGTGAGAGGGCAACAGGCTATACACATACATTTTGGATTTATGAGGGAAAAGATAGTCACGTGGAGCCCCCCGGATGCTCAGACTACATGGGGAGCAGTGGCAAGATAGTTTGGGACTTGGTGTCATCCTTGTTCCATATGGGGTACCACTTATACAGTATGTGGACAATTTTTATTCAAGCGTGCCACTATTTAGACATTTGCACAATCTTGGAATTGGTGCATGTCGCACCGTGCAACCTAATGTGTGCCCACCCTTAGAAGAGGGTGGATGCAGGGCGGTATATTTTAATGGTGGGCATACCACATACTTTTTCTGCAGAAATTTCTTCTCTTTTTTTCATTCAACCCACAGGCTGCATAAAAAAAAAAAAAGAACATAGCATATATACCTAACAAGGACCAGCGATGTACTGGTCCTTGTTAGGTATATAATGGTTTGAATGGTTATACCAGGATGATGCCTACAGCTGCAGGCATCATCCTGGTATCGTTTTTTTCAGCCTGCGATCGACTTTCATGTAAAAGCAATCCTAATGGCTAATTAGCTGCAGGATTGCTTTTACAAGCAGCGGGAGACAATGACCCCCCTCCCCCGCTGCCTTGCACGGCCTTCTCGGGCAGTCCCGTGCCATCGGGGGAACCTGAGAATGCAGCCGGTGTTTATGCCAGCTGACCATAGAGCTGACTGGAGACCAGAATGGTGCCAATCATCTCTATAATCTAAGAAATAGGAAGCTACGAGCATTTCATCACTTCAGTTTCGCAGGATATAAACAGCGTCATTTGTAAATTGGGAAAGCATCTGATCACACTGATCTTGGTGAGATTAGATAATGCAATGGCAGAGGAGATATCTAGAGTCTGATAGACCCCAGATTTCTTAAATATATGGCAATGGCCATTGAAATTATACGGGATATTTGCATTCCCTGTGATAGCATTAAAAATGATTAAGTAAAAAAAAAAATGACGGGGACAGTGTAAAAATAATGTAAAAAATCAAAATAACTTAAAAAAAAAATTCACCCTCGCTCCCCTGTGTGCGTTGACCCTGTGCCGATATGTAAACAGCGGTTGCACCATGCATGTGAGATATCGCTGTGAATGTCAGATCAAGGACAGTAATTCTAGCACTAGACCTCCTCTGTAAATCTAAAATGGTAGCTTGTAAAGGCTTTTAAAGCATTGCCTGTGGATATTAAAATGCATGCAGTTTGTCGCCATTGCATGCACGGGGCATGCACAGTTTTAAAGCATGTTTGGTATCTATTTACTTGGCATACCATCATCTTGTGCATTAAAAATAAAAAGAGTGTATTTTTTTTTAAAAAATTTGTGTTTGAAAAATTGCTGCGCGAGTACTATGTGACATAAAAAATTGCAGCACCCACCATTTTATTCATTAGGGTATCTACTTATATATATATATAAAATATTTGGGGGTTCAAAGTAATGCCCTAGCAAAAAATACTGATTTATTCATGTGAACAAAAAGTGTCAGAAAAATTGTGGTCTTCAGGTGGTTAGAGTGAATGATGTGTGGCATAAACTAATGCTGGGCATAAAATGCCCCCACCCCCCAAACAGATCCCTTTTTTGAAAGTAGACACCCCAAACTATTTGCTGAGAGGCATGTTGAGTCAATAGAATAATTTTTTTTACCACAAGTTTTTGGAAAATGACAAAAAAAAATAATTTTTTTTTTTACACAAAATGGTCAATTAAATGATTTATTGCTTACACATGCCATGGGTATATGTGGAATTATTCCACAAAATACATTCTGCTACTTCTCCCGAGTATGGGGGTACCACATCTGAGAGACCTTTTGGTAGTCTAGCCAAGTACAGGACTCCAAAATCCAATAAGCACATTCAGGCTTTTAAAGGGCTTTATTTCCTCATTACACTTCCAGACTACCTATCACAGTTTCGGAGGCCCTGAAATGCCAAGATAGCACCAAACCCCCCAAATGACCCTTTTTTGGAAAGTAGGCACCTCAAGGAATTTGATAAGAAGCATGGTGAGTATTTTTCAGATCTCGTTTGTTGCCGCACGTTTTTGGAATATGAAGAAAAAAAAAACAAAAACAAATTTATTTTTTATATATTTCAAAACCTTGTGAGAAAAAATGAGATCTGCAAAATACTCACCAAGCCTCTTTTTAAATTCATTGGGGTGTATACTTTCCAAAAAGGGGAGGGAAGGGGTTTGGTGCTATCCTGGCATTTCAGGGCCTCTGAAACTGTGATAGGTAGTGAGGAAGTGAAATGAGGAAGTTACGCACCTTCAGGCTTTCAAAGTGCTCATTGGATTTCAGACTCCTGTATGTGCCTAAGCTCCCAAAAAGTCTCACATGTGGTATCCCCTTACTCGGTAGAAGTAGCACAATGTATTTTGGGGTGTAACTCCACATATACCCATGGCTTGTGTGAGCAATATATAATTTAAATGACAACTTTGTGTAAAAAAAAATGTTTTATGTTTTTGTCATGTTCCAAAAACTTGTGGAAAAAAATAAATCTTCCATGGACTCAATGGGGTTTATTTACTAAAGCTGAAGAAATGTGATAAGCAGTCAGAAAGTAAAAGCTTTATAAATTTCATTATCTATACCATAGTTTGTAGATGCTATAACTTTCACACAAAGCAATCAATATACACTTATTGGGATCTTTTAACCAAAAACATGGAGCAGAATACATTTGGCCTAAATCTATGATGAAATTTGAGTTTTGTGGATGGATTTTTTTATGACAGAAATGAGAAAATTGTTTTGTTTTTTCCAAAATATTTTTTTTTTCAAAATGTTTTTGTTTATAGTACAAGAATAAGCAAATGCACGGGTGATTAAATACCACATAAAAAAAAGCACTATTTGTTTTTAAAAAAAGGACGTACATTTCATTTATGTACCATATTGCATGAACTGCGCAATTGTCAGTTAAACTAGTACAGGCTGTAAAATGGCATAAATTGCAGTATCTATACCATAGTTTGTAGACGCTATAACTTTCACACAAAGCAATCAATATACACTTATTGGATTTTTTTACCAAAGATATGTAGCAGAATACATTTGGCCTAAATTTATAACTAACTTTGAGTTTACTATATATTATTTATAGCTGAAAGTAAAAAATATAGTTTTTTCTTCAAACATTTGTCTTTTTTTGTTTATAGCGCGAAAAATTAAAAAGTGCACAGGTGATCAAATACCACCAAAAAGAAAGGTCTATTTGTGTGAAAAAAGGATGCAAATTTTGTTTGGGTGCAGCATGACTGTGCAATTATCAGTTGAAATAGTGAAGCGCCAAATAGCAAAAAAAGGCCTGGTCATTAAGGGGGGGGGGGGGGGGGGGGGGGGGGGGGGTGGGGGAGGGGGGGGGTAAATCATCTGGATGGCCAGTGGTTACAATAAATAATAACAACAATAATATGTAAACTTACCAAATATTAGATGTGGTGGCTGCATTAGTTTTCCTTTTTAGGGGTTTTTCCCTTTATTTTCACCTGTTGTTCTAGCTCTGTTAGTTTTCAACTTCCTTTAACAGACCAAGCTCTGCAGCAAAAGTGTCAGTTAGGGTTTGAGACACACATTCAACATTGACGGGTGCTTACAATGGTCACCTTTTATTCATTTATGTAAAACCTTTATCCCAAAAGCAAAAAACCTTGCTTTAACTGCTTAAAAAGTGTTAGCTGCAGTTAGTCTTTATTTTTTTGTCAGGTCCAACTAACACACCTAGCACTACTATCTCCCCAGACCTACAATGCTGCTGTCAAAGGTGTCTCTGTTGGAGTGAAGACAGCATAAGACACGAAATGTGCTGCTAGCCAGATCACCAGGTGAAAAATAGTGGAAAAAAAATAACCAAATGAAGGCAGCCACTATATTTAAGGAGGAATTTTAGTTATTGATATTTTATACATAGTCACTAGAGATGAGCGAATCGAACCAGGCGAACCGGAATTCGAGTCGAATTTCAGGAAATATTCGATTCGCGGCGAAACCGAAATTTTGCCTACTTCGGGTGCGCGAATCGAACATTTCCCGATCAGCCGGCAAAAGTGTCCCTGCAGTGAGCTCCGCTATTTCTGACAGTTCTCTGACAAGAAGGAACACATGTTTAGCGGTTGAAACATTGTATCTATTAGTTTACATTTAGGATACAGATGTTTCAACCACTGTACATGTGAAGAAGCTGTGAGAGAACTGTCAGAAATAGAGGAACTCTGCACATACACTTTTTGCCGGCTTGGAATTATTCTTCTTTTCATCCTACTTCTTCTTCTTCTTCTTCTTCTTCATCCTCAACGCCTCTTCTTCTGAGATGAGGATGAGGATGAAGAAGAAGAAGAAGCAGTAGGATGAAAATAAGAATAATTCCAAGCCGGCAAAAAGTGTATGTGCAGGAGTTCCTCTATTTCTGACAGTTCTCTCACAGCTTCTTCACATGTACAGTGGTTGAAACATCTGTATCCTAAATGTAAACTAATAGATACAATGTTTCAACCGCTGTATGGAAGGACAGTCCCAGAACTGTCATTAATAGTCTATTTCTGACAGTTCTATGACATTCCCTCCATACAGCGGTTGAAACAGCTGTATGGAGTGAATGTCCCAGAACTGTCAGAAATAGACTATTTATGGCAGTTCTGGGACATTCACTCCATACAGCGGTTGAAACATTGTATCTATTTTTTTTTCCATAAATGACATTCTGCAAATACACTTAGAGGAGCGCTGCAGATACACTTTTTGCCGGCTTGGAATTAATCTTATTTTCATCCTACTTCTTCTTCTTTATCCTCATCCTCATCCTCATAAGAAGAAAAAAGAAGAAGTAGGATGAAAATAAGAATAATTCCAAGCCGGCAAAAAGTGTATCTGCAGCGCTCCTCTAAGTGTATCTGCAGAATGTCATTTATGGAAAAAAATAGATACAATGTTTTCAACCGCTGTATGGAGTGAATGTCCCAGAACTGTCATAAATAGTCTATTTCCTGACAGTTCTGGGACATTCACTCCATACAGCTGTTTCAACCGCTGTATGAGGGAATGTCATGGAACTGTCAGAAATAGACTTATTATGACAGTTCTGGGACTCTGACAGTTCCATGACATTCCCTCCATACAGCGGTTGAAACAGCTGTATGGAGTGAATGTCCCAGAACTGTCAGAAATAGACTATTTCTGACAGTTCTGGGACAATCACTCCATACAGCTGTTTCAACCGCTGTTCTATGGAGGGAATGTCATGGAACTGTCAGAAATAGGAACTATTAATGACAGTTCTGGGACTGTCCTTCCATACAGCGGTTGAAACATTGTATGTATTTGTTTCCATAAATGGATCCATTTATGGAAACAAATACATACAAATGTTTCAACCGCTGTATGGAAGGACAGTCCAGAACTGTCATAAATAGTCTTATTTCTGACAGTTCTGGGACATTCACTCCCATACAGTGTTTCAAACCGCTGTATGGAGGGAATGTCATAGAACTGTCAGAAAATAGACTATTAATGACAGTTCTGGGACTGTCCTTCCATACAGCGGTTGAAACATTGTATGTATTTGTTTCCATAAATGGATCCATTTATGGAAACAAATACATACAATGTTTCAACCGCTGCATGGAAGGACAGTCCCAGAACTGTCATTAATAGTCTATTTCTGACAGTTCCATGACATTCCCTCCATACAGCGGTTGAAACAGCTGTATGGAGTGAATGTCCCAGAACTGTCAGAAATAGACAGAAACTGTCACAGAACTGTCCTTCTTCTCATCCTTCTCCTTCTTCTCATCCTTCTTCTCATCCTTCTTCTCATCCTTCTCCTTCTTCTCATCCTTCTCCTTCTTCTCATCCTTCTCCTTCTCCTTCTTCTCATCCTTCTCCTTCTTCTCATCCTTTCTTCTCCATCCTTCTCCTTCTTCTCATCCCTTCTCCTTCTTCTCATCCTTCTCCTTCTCCTTCTTCTCATCCTTCTCCTTCTCCTTCTTCTCATCCTTCTCCTTCTCCTTCTTCTCATCCTTCTCCTTCTCCATCTTCTCATCCATCTCCTCTCTCCTTCTTCTCATCCTTCTCCTTCTTCTCATCCTTCTCCTTCTCCATCTTCTCATCCTTCTCCTTTTCCTTCTTCTCATCCTTCTCCTTCTGCTTCTCCTTCTCCTTCTCCTTCTTCTCATCCTTCTCCTTCTTCTCATCCTTCTCCTTCTTCTCATCCTTCTCCTTCTCCTTCTTCTCATCCTTCTCCTTCTTCTCATCCTTCTCCTCTCCTCATCCTTCTCCTTCTTCTCATCCTTCTCCTTCTCTCCTTCTTCTCATCCTTCTCCTTCTCCTTCTTCACATCCTTCTCCTTCTCCATCTTCTCATCCCTTCTCCTTCTCCTTCTTCTCATCCTTCTCCTTCTCCTTCTTCTCATCCTTCTCCTTCTTCTCATCCTTCTCCTTCTCCTTCTTCTCATCCTTCTCTTCTTCTCATCCTTCTCCTTCCTTCTCTCATCCTTCTCCTCCTTCTCCTTCTTCTCATCCTTCTCCTTCTCCTTCTTCTCATCCTTCTCCTTCTTCTCCATCCTTCTCCTTCTCCTCATCCTTCTCCTTCCTCCTTCTTCTCATCCTTCCCTTCTCCTTCTTTCTCATCCTTCTCCTTCTCCCTTCTTCTCATCCTTCTCCTTCTTCTCATCCTTCTCCTTCTTCTCATCCTTCTCCTTCTCCTTCTTCTCATCCTTCTCCTTCTTCTCATCCTTCTCCCTTTACTTCTCATCCTTCTCCTTCTTCTTCTCATCCTTCTCCTTCTTCTCATCCTTCTCCTTCTTCTCATCCTTCTTCTCATCCTTCTCCTTCTTCTCATCCTTCTCCTTCTCCTTCTTCTCATCCTTCTCCTTCTTCTCATCCTTCCTCCTTCTCCTTCTTCTCATCCTTCTCCTTCTCCATCTTCTCATCCTTCTCCTTTTCCTTCTTCTCATCCTTCTCCTTCTGCTTCTCCTTCTCCTTCTCTGTCTTCTCATCCTTCTCCTTCTCATCCTTCTCCTTCTTCTCATCCTTTCCTTCTTCTCATCCTTCTTCTCATCCTTCTCCTTCTTCTCATCCTTCTCCTTCTTCTCATCCTTCTCCTTCTCCTTCTTCTCATCCTTCTCCTTCTTCTCATCCTTCTCCTTCCTTCTCATCCTTCTCCTTCTCCTTCTTCTCATCCTTCTCCTTCTCCTTCTTCTCATCCTTCTCCTTCTTCTCATCCTTCTCCTTCTTCTCATCCTTCTCCTTCTCCTTCTTCTCATCCTTCTCCTTCTTCTCATCCTTCTTCTCATCCTTCTCCTTCTTCTCATCCTTCTCCTTCTCCTTCTTCTCATCCTTCTCCTTCTTCTCATCCTTCTTCTCATCCTTCTCCTTCTTCTCATCCTTCTCCTTCTCCTTCTTCTCATCCTTCTCCTTCTCCTTCTTCTCATCCTTCTCCTTCTCATCCTTCTCTTTCTTCTCATCCTTCTCCTTCTTCTCATCCTTCTCCTTCTCCTTCTTCTCATCCTTCTTCTCCTCATCCTTCTCTTCTTCTCATCCTTCTCCTTCTCCTTCTTCTCATCCTTCTCCTTCTTCTCATCCTTCTCCTTCTCCTTCTTCTCATCCTTCTCCTTCTCCTTCTTCTCATCCTTCTCCTTCTCCTTCTTCTCATCCTTCCTTCTTCTTCTCATCCTTCTCCTTCTCCTTCTCTTTCCTCATCTCCAAGGGCATTTAAATTAAAGGTACAGTGTTCTGCACTAATTTAAAGGCTCTCTGAAGCCTAGAAACCCTTTTTATAAGTCATCTTCGTAGCGAAGAAATTCGCATCGAATCGAATTTCACACTGGAATTCGCCGAATCAGCCGAATCGAATTTTTGAGAAATTCGCTCATCTCTAATAGTCACACTGGTCCAGCTTAGACAAATGTAACTATGTATATACCACACCTGGCTGATGCCCCCTGGAAGCTGGAAATCCTGAAGTAGACACCACTACTTCAGGTCGGCTGCTTGGCACAGGCATCAGGGGCATATTTACCACAAGTCAAACAAGGCATTTGTCTAGGGTGGCTTGATTTAGGGGGGCAGCACCTTCCCCCAAAAGAAGGATGAAGAAGGGCAGGTGGGGGTAGTGGAAGGCTCTCTCTGGGGGGCAGGGGTGTTGTTGGTCAATGTCAGACTCTCTCCAAGGGAAGGGGGGGTTGTGTTGGTCAGTGTCTGTGGGGGGTAGACAATTTTTGTATTGCACAAAACTTAAATACACCATTGACTGGCATCATTCAAAGAATGCTTTACATTTTCTGAATGAATGCAAAGCATTCTCTGATTTGTCTAGGTGGAGAGGTGGGGAGGTGATGCTAATAATTTGAGAAAGAATTACATACATAAAGGTTTCTTTTTATATGTGCCAAAAGTTCCACCTTACATTTTGTCTTGTAAAAGTAGCAAGGACCAAATAAAACATAATGGGGTTGATTTATTGGAGAGTGCAAAATCTGATGCAGCTGTGCATGGTAGCCAATCGGCTTCTTGTTCAATTAAACCTTGGCAATAAAACCTGGAAGCTGATTGGTTTCTATGCAGAGCTGTACCAGATTTTGCACTCTACAGTTTTAGTAAATCAACCCCATTACATCTTACAGTTCCCTGGTGTGCAGGTGAATTCTTTTGGTCCCCTGTGCAAAATGTAAACCAGAGCCTAGTGACAACTCCTCATTTTTAAAATTCTAACTGAACCCCCAAAAAACAGCCTTTGCAGCCTATTTAAAATGCAAATAACAAGAATATTTGTTTATCCTTTGAATATAGCAGGTCACAGGTGAACATTCTACATCTGACTATATATTTCAAAGATAATAGTATTCAGACTAAACCGACAAACAGAAACAACTCTATATGCAAAATTAGTTGCCATCATCCTGGTTGGATTAAAAGGGATCAAAAAGCCAATTCATCCGAATAAGGCACAGTTGTGACCAGTTGGCAGACTATACATGGCAAACAGAAATATAATAATAACAGTTCAATAAAAAGGGCTAAAAAATGCATAATAAAGACATTAAAATATAACAAATACAGACAGACAAATTCTACAAAAGAAGGGTAAAAAAAAAGATAAATAATGCTAGGAAAAATAAATAGGATGCCACATTTGTTGTTGCCTTTTAAAACCAGTATTATTACATGAAGAAAGCTATTTTTAAAAAATGGAACATTTAAAAAAAAGACTGTATTCTGACTGGTAACTTACCTGATAAACATAAGGTGATCTTTAAAAAAAGTTCCTTTCTTTAGAGATATTCTATCTTACAATATTGTGGGCAGACTAAAAGATGTATCATTCTTTCAGTGAAATGTTTTTTTTTTCCTTTGCAAGAGATGTCAAGCTTGCAGATTACATAAGTACAATAGTACCAAAAAATAGTTAATTTGTATGCCAGGAGCATACATAGAGAGTATAAGATAAATGCATTTGTTTCATGCTATTCTAAACATGTGGTATACCTTTTAGAATACATGAGAGCTAAACTGCATTTTTCTGTAATAAAAAGGAGATATCAAAACATGAAACATATCTAAGATCCAGTGATTTTTTTCAGTAGGAACTTTGTGGAACTCAGTTCCACCACCTCTGATTCTCACCCTCCGCTCCATGTTCACCACTGTCACTTGTAAATACAGAAGCCCGGCTTCTGTGCTTACAAAGACAACTTGCCTTTCTCAGTGGCTCCACAGATCCCTCCCTGCCCTACACTCATGGAGTGGACAAGGGAGATGCAGCTGCTAGTGCAGTGTGGTCATGGGTGGGAAGGGGCATTGTGTGGTAGACTGCATCCTCTATGTCCACCATCTGTTCTCAGGTGCATGGATGCTGACATCCACAGATGATCTTGTTGCAAATGAGAAAGGTTAAATGCATGGAAGCTTTAAAGGAATGGGGGCAGGGGGGAGAGGATGGCAGTGAAGGGGGTTATGCAGAGTTGGGGGATGGGTGGAGTGGTGCGGAGGTCCGAGATGAGAAAGGGTGGAAATGGGATGTGGATGCGGGATGCAGAGGTAAGGGCCTGTGAAAGAGAGCTGAACCCTGCACTCTGTATGTGGTGTATCCCTGAGCTCTGCATCCTCAACATAGAGTACCCCTGATCCCTGCACTCTTTACATAGCGCACCTCTGAACCCTAAGGTCTTTACATAGCGCACCCCTGAACCCTGCACTCTGTATGTGGTGTGTCCCTGAACCCTACACCCTCAACATAGCGCACCCCTGATCCCTGCACTCTGTACATAGCGTACCCCTGAACCCTGCGCTCTTTAGATAGCGCACCCCTGAACCCTGCATGTAGTGCACCCCTGAACCCTGCATCCTGAACGTAGTGTACTCCTGATCCCTGCACTCTGTATGTAGCAAACTCCTGAACACTGCACTCTCTGCTTAGCAAACCCCTGAATCCTTCACTCTGTGTGTAGTGCACCCTTGAAATCTTCCCTCTGTACATAGTGCACCTCAGAATTTTGCACTCTGTACATGGTGCACTCCTGAACTCTGCACTCTGTAAGCAGCACACC